AATCCCATAATACGTCTATAAAAGCTTTCAGAATTATTTATTATTTAATAAAACAGAGTTCAGGATTGTTCGCAAAAAAAAAAATAGGTAGATATGGCATTCATTTGAAACATGTATTTCAGAAAGTACACTTTTTTCTAGTTTAGGATTCTCCTTTCTCATTCTTATTGATTTAGTTTCTTTTTTGAAATATATGGGATATTAGCAAACTTAATACCATGTGTAAAGGTGTGTTCAAAGAAGTGTGCCTCCTCCCGAGTTCCTTCCATCCCACTCCCCAGCCTATTGGTTGTTTTCCGGAGTATCCTTGCTGTGTTTTTTTCTGTAAAAAGAAGCAGATCTGTGTGTGCCTTCTTGGACACAGGGTGGCATGCTCTGCATGCTCTTTGCCCTCTTCACTCAGCAGTATCTCCAGCAATCACTCCCTATCAGTTTACAGTGACCTTCCGCATTCCTTTGCAGAGCTGCAGTGTGTGTGCATTCCATAGTGGCCGATCAATCTTTATGCTTGGACATTTAGGTAGTTTCCAGTATTCTGCAATTACAAGTAGTACTGCTGTGAACACCCTTGTATGTGGGCATTTTCATATTGGTGAGAGTATATATCCCAGATAAATTCCTGCAAGTGGGATTGTGCTATTGAAAGGTCTGGTAAGTGGTTTAATGTTTTCTTTAAAAATTTAAGTAAAAAAAAAAGATAGTTCACATTAAATGATTAAGTAAATAACAAACAGTACAGCAATACACAGACGTGGCAGAAATTGTAAAGGCAGGGAAATGCCTGAAATTTGAGCAACACTGGGCTGGCTTATTGCTGTAATCCCTTCAAAATTCAAGATGGCAACCTGGTTGGTGTGGGTCTCGTATAATAACTGAGGTTTAGATGGAGCCCCCTGGGAATTCATCACCAGAGCCTGAATCCTGGCCTCAGTGACCATCAGCTGAAATCTGTGTCCACACAAGCCCACTTACCTGCTTTCCCTGGTGGCAGCAGCAAGATGCTTTCCCCCAGGGGAGGGGAGCTAGGCTACACAGGCAGGCATGCTTTCATGTCAGCAGGGAGGTGTGGGACTGGGGTCCAGAGGGCTGTGCAGACATTCTGGTGTGGTATAAAGAGGGGTTTACTTTGACCCTGAATCACCAAGAAAGGAAGGGTCCAATCCTCTTTGACATCTTCTTTAAAAGATGGCTGTTTAATCCATTTTAGAGCACTGAGAATCTGGGGGGCCCCTCTCCCCAAAAACCTATTGCCCACCCCTCTCATGCCCACATCAGGGAGTTAGCAGACTGTAGGTAAGAATCATTACTTTTAAGAGTTGTTGGATAAAATTGTTAAAAAGAATGAGGGAGAAACTGTCTTGGCATTGGAAGAATGTTCTACAGTTGTTTAGAGAGTTAGAATCTAAGTGGAGCACCTCATTCCACAACTATGCTGGCTGGATGAGGGGGGAGTATGGCGGGAGGGGTGCAGTGGGAGATCTAGGGTGACACAGAAAGAGGCTCTGGGGGCCTCCTCCTGCAGCAGGACCTGCCGTGGGAGGCAGGGAGGGTGCGGTGCTGGCTTTTGCTGCTACTTTTTTGTGGCTGTATTGAGTCACTGTACTTTTGGGTTTCTGTTTCCTCATGTACAGTATTCAGTATCAAACCAGTGGTTTTCAGGAAATTTGTATGAAACTCCAGAAGTCCAGAAAGGAGCTCTAGGGGCTTCTGTGGGGTGTGTGAGGGAACCAGCATTTAGGGGCATTTGGGCACCACCCACCCATGACCTGGAGTGGCTCCCTCATCTGCTTCCTGTGGCAGTGTGCCAGGGAAATTGCCAAAGTTAATATTCTACCGCTTAACAAAGTTTGATGAGTGCAAGGCTGGATTATCTTTAACCTCTTCTCTGCTCCAGAATCCTGATAGTGTCCAGGGAGATTAAAAAGAGAAAACCACCTCAGCAGGCTTACCATCCGGGCAGAGGCGCTAGGGCTTGGCCCCGTGACCTTGGAGGTCCTTGGAGCTGAGCCTGCTGCGTGAGCCAGGCTGGGAGGAATGGGAGCCTGCAGCTTTCACAGCAAAGCAAGAGACTGACACCCTAGTCTTGCTCACTAGTCTCCAGACGTCTTTGATAGCACTGCCCGTCAGTAGACACAAGCAAATATGCAATTTAGGCATGCATTTCCCAAATAGATGTACATCCATTAAAAATTGTACGTATTTGTATTACTGTGCTCTTATGGACCTCATAAAACACACAAAATAGATTTTTAATAAAAGATGAGAATAATTACAAATAAAAGAGGTACTGCCCAGTGCATCATCTCACATGCCCACTCAGATGTCTGCCCCCCTGCTGTGGAGAGGTGGGGGTCATTGGGAGGCACCTGAGGAGGTGGTTAAGGTGGAAGTTGAGGACAGGAGAGCTACGGCTCACAGCCCGCAGTCTGTGCCACCTCCCGTTCCTGAGGGCCTGTGTGCTGCCCAGACTGCTGTGTACTCCGTGCTCTCTGACTAGACTCACAAATGTAGCTTCATCCTAAGCAGCAATATCCACCGAAGAACAGGTTTCCTGTACAGTTGGAATTTTCTTCTAATGCATGTTAAAATGAATACAAAACTATGCAAACAAAACTTTTGTCCACATACCACCTAAAAATCACATGTCAGCCCCCACCTGTGTAATGGCAGATGGCCCTGTGGGAGACTCTGATCTGTGGCCTCCAACTCCAGACCACACCGGAAGGGAAGGGAAGGGCTGGGGAGAGCAGGGCCCCCTGAGGTCCAGGACATGTGGACATGAGGAGGGGGGAGCCCTCCTCTATGCCAGAGGACAGTTGCAAGTGCAGTCACTGCCAGAAGGGCAGTGGGGATGTGATGTCTCCCCTGAGAACACTGCACACGTGGATCACAGCCTGGGTGGGGATGTGGACCACCCCACTATGTATTGCAGCTGCCATGCATCATTGCTGGCCCTGCCTGCCACTAAAACTTCCCACACTGGGCTAGGGCGGTCGTCCATTCATCCATTCCAGAGCTATTTATTGAACAATCGCTGTGTGCCAGGCCCTGGGCTAGATGCTGGAGTTCCAGTGGATAACAACACAGGTAAGGCAGCTAGATTGTGAAGCCCACATTCTAGTGGGGGAAGGCAGGCAGGAAACAAGCAACCAAGAAATAGGAAATAGAAAATCCAGGTAGTTATAAATGTATAAAGTAAAGTCAAGATAAGGTAGGAGGGGAGAATATTGCAAATGATTTGTGTAGCTACTCCCCGGCTCCAAGAGATAGAACATAACTCCCCACTCCAGAAGTGTGGGCTGCACTTAATGACTCGCTTCCAAAGAGTGTGGAATGAAAGGAGGTGGCAAAGTAACCGTCCAGTGGGGAATCCTGACCAGCACTCACCTGGCCAACCTGATGTGGGTTGACAGCAGCAGCCCTGAGTTGTGTAGAGCTGTACCCTGGGCATGATGGGATGGGAAAGGCGCCTCCCCAAGTGGCCTTCCTCCCAGGAACACACAGCTCCCGTCTAACAATCAGGAGAACACCAGGCAAATCCATATTGAGGGACATTCAACAGAATACCTGACCAGTTCTCCTCAGACTGTAAGGTCATCACAAGCAAGGAAAGTTTGAGAAACTGTGAGAGCCCAGAGGAGCCTAAGAAGGCAGGATGACCCGGTGCAGCATGGTATCCGGATGGGATCCTGGGGCAGAAAGAGGGCGTTAGGGAAACACTAAGGAAATCCAGATGAGGTGTGGAGTTCAGTGAGTGATTCAAGGAGGCAGAGGAAAAGCAGGTGGAGAGGGTGTCTGAGAAGGATGTCTCCACAGTCATGACACCTGAGCAGAGCCCTGAGTGATGAGGCTGAGTCATGCTGGGCAGGGCAAACCTGGGCTGAGAGCATCCCAGGCAGAGGAAGCAGCCGCGCAGAGATCCTGGGGCCGGTCAGCTTGGGCTGATCAAAGAGAAGCAAGAGAGAAGCTCAGCACTCTGGAAGGACATTGGGTGGAGAGAGCCAGGTGGTGAGGCCAGAGGTGGACGGCAGCCAGGCCGTGCAAGGCCCTGACACCAGTGGAGGCATTTGGATTTCATCCTGAGTGGGGTGGCAAGGCAGTGCGGAGTGTTGAACAGAAAGATGACACGAGCTGATTTCCACTTCAGATCACTGGGTCTGTGTTGAGGACAAACTGGGGATCAAGAAATGAAGCAGAAGCCAAAGGGGGAGGCCCAGGTGGGGAAGATGAAGGATGGCAGAGGCCGAGTCAGAGCCCAGGGGTGCTCCTCATCCCACCTACCAGGGATGAAGGGGATTACCTCAACTCTGGGTGCCGAGAACTAAGTACTTGAAGGTCTACACTCAGGCATCAAAGAACTCTGCAATAGGGGCACCTTACAGCACAACCATCCATCTCTAATTCAAGATGTTTTCTTTCATGGATTCATACCTTTTTCTGAAAAATTTAAATGTGCAGCGTGTGTAGGTCAGTTGCTATAAGTTGCCCTTATGTAATTGGGGAAAAATAAAGCAAGGTCGCTAACCTCTCTCTGCCTTCCAGAAATTGTAAGTGGAGAGGAAAACAGAAGGCTTCAGGCATGTCAAAGCCTTTTCTAAGTGTGAACGGTTTCAGAATATTTTTTTATTGTGAATTTGATTTATGTTTTATTAACCACATATTTCTTCTCTCTGTCTGAACTCTATTGGGAAGGAAGTGTGGCATCCATTAAGTAAAATAAATATCTTTTAAAAAGTCCTAAAATAAATTATTGCAGTTTGAGCTTTCTTGCCGAAATCAGGGCCATGTTTCTTGGCATGGCCAAGACGAAAGGAAAGAGAGGTCCTGCCCTGGGTCTTGTTTCTCCTGCAGCCTGTTGCTGGTGCTCCTGCCACAGCTGTTGAATGCTTTCTTGTTTTGGTAGCGGTTTATCAGGGCTGCGTCTCAAACATGGGTATGTCTGTAAACCTACATCTGAACAGCTGTCCAGACTCATCCCATCTCTGTGTATTTGCTTCCAGAGATAGAGATGGTGATCATGGAACGCAGCAAGCTTCCAGAGCTGGCGGCCGGCGTGTCCGTGCGGGAGCAGAACACCACGGACGAGGAGAAGAGCGCTGCCGCCACGTGCTTGGAGAGCGTGCAGTGGAGCAGGTAGCCACCTGGGGCCCCAGCCCTGCTGTGGGCGCGGGCGTGCTGCAGGAGGGGCTGCCCCCAGCCAGCCCGTGGGTGGGGCTGCTGCTCAGTCCCTGGGATGATGGGATGAGGAGGTGGGCTCAGCAGTGAGAGAGGGTGCCTTGGCCAAGGTGCCCACTGAGGATAACTTACAGCCTCTTGCCGCCACCCAAATGGCCTCTTCTGCCTCTCAGCCAAGCCATCCTGCTTCCTGCCTCTCCCTGCTTCTCCAGCCCCTGGCCATCAGAGGCACTGCTCTCTTCCAGAGGCACAGGGACAGAGCTGACGCTCAACACTGTAGTGCTTACCCCTTGGAAAGAGAATGCAGAGACATGTCGCCACCGCCCCGCAAGCACTTTGGGGCTGGGCCCCATCCTCAGGGATGTGGGCCACCTTGCAGCCTTGTCCTGGCTGCTCTTGGCAATGCTCTGCTGCTGCCAGCACGGATCTTGTGGGAACAGCGTTCGGATCTCCCTGTGTCATTCATCCGCTGCTTCGCACACCAGTGTCCACTGTGCCTGCCCTCCTGGCTCAGCTAGCATGATTTAATGCTGTCATCCACCTTGGACTTTTTGCCTGATTATTCATTTCAGCTATGACCTGCTGAAGCAATATCCTCTTAGACCTCCATTTCCTGGAACCTCGCTGTAGCACCACCCCTTCAAGAATGGGATTGAGGGAAAGATTGGCCCCCAAAATGTGCAGTAAACTGCTAGGAGGGCTTCTTCATTTCAGCATTATTTCCTTATCAGGTGGCCCCCCTGCACAGACACCTACAATAACTTCCTATCTCTACTTTGTGTTACTAAATGCACAACAGCGTTGTTTCTCTGTCAGCCTACAAGGCATTTGCCGCCTGAACTCTCAGGGTGGGGTGGCTGAAATACACACACCCCATCCTATTTATTAATCAAACTTGAAGTAGATAGTTGAAGCACACTACTTTTTTCCTCCACATTTTGTTTATCTCTTTGCTTGGCAAATGTTTCAGTTATCTAACAGACAGGCTTAATTTTTATCAGATGCACAAGGAGGCCATTTTTAGTTTGGGTTAAGTAAAAAACACTGGCCCGCAGTGCGGGCTGTCAGTTGTTGTAACTCACAAAGATATTTTTGGTTGTGCTTGGCAGCAAAAAATGTAACTCCTGAAAATCTGGGAGTTAAGGAAATCATTCTAAACCTTTAGGTACTTGGCATGGTATTACTTAATTGTGAATAATTGGAAAAACTGCAAATTCCTTGTAGTCAGGGGGTTGCTTAAACAAATGAGGTGCATCTGTTTAATAGAATGTTAGCTGCTGCTTCTCAGTGAATATTGTCATGGTGTGTTTTGTTTCTTAGGATCTAATAAATGGAAACAGCATGTATTTTGCATAGGAACGTAATACTGTAGCTTTGCTAAAGGAAGAAAATACCCATGTGTTGTCAAAAAAAAAAAAAGGGTGAATAGACCAAAATCTTATGTTTGAATGTTGGGGTTGAGACTTTTTCTTTCCCTCTGAATTTTAGTGAAGGGGGGTTTCCTCAAAGTTCGTTGAGATTGTCTCAACTTCTGTTAACTTTAACTGGCATCTTCTACCATGTGTTTTATAATGGAAGCTGATCCTGGTACTCTGAGTAGGGCCACACGCCAGGCTATGGGCCTGGGAACCTTTGAGTGCTGAGGGAGGCTGGCCCAGGTGGAGAGTTGCCCTCTCCTTTGTAAAGGTACTGAGTTGTTGGTTGTCAGAAACACTCCCATGGACTTCTGCCCCCCCAGTTTCCAGTACTGAACAGGGAGGAGGGCCCTGAAGGTGTGGGAGGGGCGCAGCGTGTTCTTTGTGACATGGATTGGATCTTGACATTTAGCATAGCACTAAGTGGAACCATCCTTTTATCCCCTGTACATTCTGGGCTGTGTCTGCATTCAGAGTTAAATACATGCCTGAGAAACTAAAAACCATTCAGAATATTTTCTCTTCTCTTAAAAGAAAAACTTTAAAAGAGTTATAAAAGTAATACACATTCAGGAAATGTAAAAAAAAAACCTTGGAAAGTATAAAGAAGTGGAAAACTAAGTCTCCATGATGCCAGCATTCATATGCAGCTATTACTAACATTTTGGTTATTTCTTGCTAGTCATTTTTCAATGCCAGGTTTGTGGGGATTCTGCCCCCTTTACCCCCAATAGCTCGTGCCATACCCTGTCATTTTTTTATTCTTTTTTTCTATCTAATATCAAACCCCAAGCATCTCTTTAACGTTATTGTACTCACAGTAAACAGAATGCTAATGACTTCATAATAATTCATCTCCTAAAAGATGGTACATCTACCCAGCCCTCCCTCTGTGACTGGGCAGTTAGTTACTTGTGTTAGTCTCAATTGAAAATGCAATCCAAATTCCAAGCAGCTAGTTCATTAGGAAATGTTTTGTACTTTATCCCACTCTTAAGTTTGGAAGTGGTGTCACCTGGGAGCTCACAAAAAGCCAGTCCACACATGGCAAAACTATGCACAAAACTGAAAGTTGATGCCCAACCTGGGGTGGGAAGGATTTGGGGCCTCAGAGGAACCCAGCCCAAATGTAATTGTCCCCGTTAGGTTCTTCCTTTGAAATGTTATGACAAGAACATTTTCACTACTTCTCTTTTATATTTTTCAATATATTATTTTGAACTGACGGTACATTCATGGAGTTCAAAATTCAAAAAGCATATACAAGGCTATGAAGTGAATGCTTTTGGTTTCTCTGCCACACCATTCCACCTTCCCTGGACAACTGGCGTTGACAGCAGCTGTGTGTACTTCCAGGGGTAAAGCATGCCCTTGGTCACTTGCTGAGGCTCTCTGCTCTCTTGGCTTCAACCTGGCATCCAGAGGGGCAGCCACAGATGGTCACAGGACAGAGCCTCCTGTCTGTGGGCCAGATCCGTGCATATTCCATTATCCTTATGTTGAAGAGTCTTCCCAGGCCAAGTCCTTCACGTGGAAGAGCAGCATTTGGGGTGTGTGGCTTGTGATATTTGCAGCCACTCTCCAGATCTCACCCACAAAGCATCTGAGGTGAGAGTGCCCCTATTGATTCGTACCAGTCAAGGAAAGTCTGTCCAAGAAGTTGCTGGGCCAGGACCCGCCAGGGTGAGATCATGGAGAAGGGTCTTTGGAATACTGAAAATAGAAACCCAGTTCCATCTCCCACCTCTGAGCACTTTCTGCTGTGTGCCTAGTCCTGTGTCAAATGCCTTTGTGGAGTCATTTCACTTGGATCTTCGCAGTCACGATGGCTTAACCTCCATCTTACAGATAAGGAAAGGGAGAGGTTTTAGGTAACTCACCTAAGGGCTTGCAACTAAGTAGAGGCAGAATCAGAATTTGAACCCAGGCAGTCTAGGTCCAGTGCTCCCACCCGGAAGTTCACACCTGTTGGCGCCTTGTCTGGTACTGATCGTCACATTGCTGGTTTCGTCCCTCTCCTGTCACTCTCTGAAGTGATGATGTGTGCTTCCTGTTCTTTCTCCCCAGCAGCACTGGAGTGCCCCAAGAGCAGGGGCCAGCAGGGACCAGTGTCCGGATCAGCTGGTGAATACTGTTGAGTGGGTCGCTGCTTTGTTCCTCAGTCAGTTTCCCCTGGAGATAGCAGCTTCCCAGGGCACAGGCTGTCTCTTCTTTGTGCCCCCAATGCCTGGTGCTGGACTGGGCCCACATTAGACTTGCCAGGTGCTCATGGCAGAGCTGGCAGAGGCAGTGGGCACCCCATGTGCAGGTGAGAGGAGAGGTGTATACTGGGAGGCTCACGTGTGCCCCTCCTCTTTTCCAGACCCTTCCTGGACATGGTATACCATGCCCTGGACAGCCCAGATGATGATTACCATGCTCTCTTCGTGCTCTGCCTCCTATATGCCATGTCTCATAACAAAGGTAAGCTGGCCGAACTCACCTGCCTTCCTGGCAAAAACCGCCTGCCCTCTGCTGTGTGGAGGTAAAAAGGAAAGCAGCTTTCCTCAGGGAACATCCTTTCTGGTTTGGCAGATTCCCAGTTTCTCCTCAGCCTTCTCGGAATCTCTCAGGTGCTTTTCTACAGACTGAAGCCACAGGAGTTGGTTACTCAGGCACTGCGGGGGGTGGGAAAGGTGTAAGTGTTGACACCAATATGACTGTGTTCGCCCTGTGGTTTTCTTTTGACCCCTTGCTTCACAACTGACTTGGTGTCCCACCTCTTTCCTAACATCAGAACTGAAATCAGTCACTTTGTCACCAAGGTTTTGCTATTTATAATAACTCAATGTTCTTGTTTTGGGTGCAGAGCTAAAATAGACTCTGGGTGGATTGTGTGGAAACAGGTTTCCTTTCTGAAGAAAGGTGTGGTTCTCTGGCTTCCCCTGTTGAGGCTGGGTGGTCAGGATCAGACTCCCATGGGGCCAGCAGATTCGATCAGGACTCATTCATTCACTTCCTCGCTGGGAACAGCTGCTGCTGTGTGCTCCTCCTGTAAGGACACCTACGTCTACGACTGCCCCCATAAGCACAAAGGGAGGTATCCCTCACTGGCTGTGCCCTGCTTTGTTTTTCTGGCATCATCATGCACTAGCACATCACTTCACATACCTACAGAACTGCCTTGTTCCTTCCAATTGCGTGTCTGTGCCATCATTTATTCTGCCACCCCCTTACTGAATGGCACTGAGACCATTTCCTGGCTTCTCTTGCTGTAGACAGGACTGATCATGATTGCTCTTCTCCTGTGTAAGTCACTGTGCTCTCGTGCAAGCCTGTAGACCCACCCTGACTTCTAAGAGAGCTGTTACTGCTCGGCTGGTACTACCTTCCAGCGTCTCGTTCACTCTCATAGCTTCTGCCCTCACCTCCAGCTCCTGGCCTGCTGTCCGGAGCACAGGAGCCCTCACTCACTGCGAGTAAACAGAACTCCATGAGGCTGCCCCACTCCACCTGTGGTTGTTCGCCACTTCCCAGGACCCTGACCGCTGTGACCTTTTTGTCATTGCAGCTATGTAGTCTGAACTCCTGCTGGTTGCATGCAGGAGACTTCTACCTAGGTGTTTCAGGAACACCTTGAAACAGTCCATCTACACCACACTCAGCCCCCATGAATATGCCCTGACCTTGTCACACTTCCTGCCATTTCTGGCTCAGTTGAAATTGCCAGCCAAGCTTGAAACTGCCATGACCTTTAGTTCCTTCTCTCCTTTGATCCCAGCATTTAGTCATCAGGTTTGGTTAGTTCTCCCTCTTAGCCTATCAGATCAGCAGAATTTTGCTGAGTGCACCTCAGGGCCTGGCTTTAAAGTAGGTGCTGGAGGTGAGAACCAAAGGCATGAGAGCAAGAGAGATCTGGGCACATCATTCCAGAGGCCCTCATTGCAGCCTCCTGAAGGGCCAAACATACGGCCATTCTGCAGCTGCTCCTCTGCAGCTCTGCCAGGTGGTCCTCTGCAAGACTGTGCCTGGCCATGCCCTTCCCCTGTTCAGAAACTTTTAGTGCCTTCTTCTTACCCTTAAATTCTCACCCTCAAACCTCACTTTGAATATCTAGATTGCATCCACCATTCCACCTTGATCTCACTGTTCTGTCTTCCCTTCACAGACCCTTGGCTCTGGCCCAGGGGTTTAGATTTTTAATAGTGTCAGAACTCTCAGAGAGAGAAGCTGTGGCTGCTGCCCTGGTACTCTCTGAGCTCTTTAAAGTTTGGTCGCAGTCAACACCTCTCATTAACTTAACTGAAAGGGAAAGTCTATAGGAAGGCCCCTGAGGCAGCTCACAGGATCCAGAAGCTGCTGAAAAGCAGAAGGAAGGACGGGCACTAACTAGCTTCAAGGGGCTTCCCTCAAGGTAGGTTGTGATTTGGCCCCAGCAAATCCCAGGCTAGGAGTCTTGTCTCCAAACAGGTTCTAAATTCTTGGGCAAGAGGTTTGATTTTTCCAGTGTGATGGTGCGCGTGACTCTGGAACAGTCCCTTATGACTGGGGCTTTGGGGGAGCGTGGACCCAGGTCACAGAGCACAGACTTGGCCCCGGGAGGCTCAGCCCTGCGTCTAGGACTGTTCCCAAAGAATGGAGCTTCCTTGGAAGCCTCGTAGCCACCCCATTTGGTAACAGAATGCCTACCTGTTCCTGGCTGGTCTGCCACATTTTTTGTATACATTTGTGTTTCTTCCTGCCATTTTCTGTTCCCCCAACATCATCACCTGTTGAAATTTGGCTTGCCTGTCAAGGGACTGCTCAGAAGTCACCTTCTCCAGAAAGTTTTCTCTGATCCCTTCAGGTGACAGTCTCTGGGTTAGTACCACCTCGAGTGGCAGGTACCTTTTATACACTGCTGGATTTGGTTTGATAAAGTTTTGCTAAGGATCTTTGCCTTTACATTCATGGGTGATACTGGTCTGCGGTCTTCTGGTGGTTCCCTTGTTTTGTTTCCTCTCAGAGTTGCGCTCATCTTATGGAATGAATTGGGAAGTGTCCCCTTCTCCTGAATTTTCTGGAGGTGTTTCTGTACAACTGGTATTATTTCTTCCTTAGCTGTTTGGTAGAATTCACAAGTAAAGACATCTGTACCTGGAGCCTTCTTCGAGGGAAGGTCTTTAATTAGTCGCTTTTCAGTGGCTGCAGGGCTGTCGAAGCTTCTCTCTTTCTTATGGAGTGAGCTTTTGTAGCTTGATCTAAATTGTCAAATTTACTGGTGTAACCTTGTTCATTATATTCCTTTATTATACTTTTAATATCTGTACGGTCTGTAAGAGATGTCCACTTTCTAATTCATAGTATTGATAATTTAGGTCTTCATTTATTTTTTCCAGATCAGTCTGGCGAGGGATTTATCTATTCTGTATTAATTCTATTGACTCTCTCAAAGAACTTTTCTCTTGGTTTCATTGATTTTTCTGTTTTTTGTTTGTTTTTGTTTTTCTGATCTGTAGTTTGTCAATATCTTTCTTTGCAACCTTCAGCCGCTTACTTCAGATGCAATGCTTTTTGCAGTTTCTTAAGATGGAAGCTTAGATCCTCGCTTTTCTTTAAAGCAATTAATTTTATTTTACTTTTTAAATTAATATACAGTAAATAAAGTTAACTCTTTTCGTGTGTAGTTCTGTGAATTTCAGCCCATGTGTGGATCTGTTTGAACGCCGCCCTAATCAGGGCATGTCAGTCCCATCGACAAAACATGCTTCGTGCTCTTCTTTTCCGGTCATAACCCTCCCCGGACCAGTCATCGATTTTTAAACTCCCTTCTTTTCTAAAACTAAAGTTTAATGCTGCAGATTTCCCTCTAAGCGCCGCTTTAGTTGCATGCAGTAAGTTTTGATACATGCGGTTTTATTTTTTCCTGTTTAAAATATCTTATAATTTCCCTTCTGACTCACTCTTGTCTATTCCATCTGTGGAATTCCCAGCTACGTTTCTGTTACCGATCGTCTTCTTCTCTTCTCCCGTGAGAGCGGCCGAGGATGTTGTTCAGGTTTTCTTTCTCCGTGCTGACACCTGGAGATTCTTTCCCCGTAGCGAGCTGGAATAGTTAGTGGGCCCCCCACCTCTGTTCTCATGCCTCAGGGCCCCTCTCCTGGCTGCCAGTTGTCCTCGGCAAGGTCTCAGAACCATTATTTCATACACTCTGCCTGGTTTTCTAGTCACATGAATCAGCGTAAATCCAGTCTGCCTTGTCTGGAAAATATGGCACTTAAAAAATTTTTTTGAGGCATAGTTGATATACAATGAATAGCATCTATTTCAAGTGTACAATTTGAAAAGTTTTAACCCAAATATATATATACCCTCGAAACCACCACAGCAATAAAATGACAGCGTGTGTATCCATCCCCTGCCTGTTACCCCTTCCACCCTCTCCCTACGCAGCACTGCACTTGAACATTAGTTTGCATTTTCTAGAATTTTATATAAATAAAATCATGCAATGTGTACTCCTTTACTGTATGGCTTCTTTCAGTCTGCATAATTATTTTAAGATTCATCCATGTCGTTGAGTATCAGTAGCTCATTTCTTCTTACTGGTGAGTGATGTTTCACTGTGTGAATGAATGTACTGCGGTTTGTTTATCCATTCATCTGCTAGTGGGCATGTCGGTCATTCCGGATTTTGGCCATTGTAAATAAAGCTACTGTGGACGTTTATGTACAAGTCTTTTATAGACATGTTCCTTTTCTCTTGGGTAAATACTGAGGGATGGGATGGCTCCATCATATCATAGGTGTAAGTTGGATTTTAAGAAAACTGCCAAACCATTTTCCCAAGTGGCTGTGTAGTTTATATCCCACCACCAGTGTCCGAGAGCGCTGGTGTCTTCACGTCCTTGCCAATACTTGGTGTAGCCACCTTTTAAATGGCCCATTTAATAGGTATGTTGTGGCATCTTGTTGTGATTTTAATTTGCATTTCCTGATGACTAATGATAGCAAATATTTTTTGATGTGCTCCATGTATTATCCACATACCTTCTTCAGTTGTATATCCTCTCGAATCCTTTGCTCGTTATTGTGGAGTTTTGAGAGTTCTTTATATGTCCTGGGTACAAGCCCTTTATCAGATGAGTTTTGCGAAGATTTCCTTCTAGTCTGTGGCTTGTCTTTTCATTTGCTTAACAATGGATTTTGAAGAGCAGACATTTTGTAATTTCCATGAACTTCTCTGGTACTTTTTTATACTTCTCTCCATATTTTCTCCTACTCTGAACTTCCTGGCCTCTAAAGACAGAGACCATGTCTCTCCCGATGGCCCCTGCAGTAGTAGCCCTCTTAGCACCTGGCACCTGGTCAGCACTCGACTGGTTTGCTCTTTGATTGCCCCTCAGCTATGTGGCATTCCCTAGGCGGCATTCTTCCTGGTAGTGTGCTCAGGGCCTCAGCAGGGGACAGGCTGTCTGGAGAGTGGACATGCCAGGCTTCGGAGG